AAGTCAACAATATTCTTCCCTAGTGTCAGCACTTACCTTAAAGGGTTTCTAAACCCTCTGTTTTTTTGCATATATCTACTGCTACCAAGCAGTAGATATATGCAGAAAGTTAAAAAAAAACCCGCTTTAAAATCGGTTTAAACTTACCGCTATCTTCGCCACACGCTCCCGTCCGAAAATCCGAAACTGCTCGACCGGCCGCAAAGCATCTTGGGGCGGATGCATGCGCAGTTCGGATTTTCGCCCAGGAGACGAGGAGAGACCCAAGGTAAGTCTATGGACGCGTGCACCCGCATGCAGACACCGTGGGACAGGAAGTGCCAGCAAGCTCAGAGGAGTCAGCGCTGGATCGGAGACCTGCACCAGTGCTGGAGGGACAGCTGAAAAGGACAGGAAAGAAGAGGAAGATCGGATTAAGAGACATCATTTAAGGTGTTTTACTTAACATTGGGGGGAAGGAAAAAAAATTTGACTTTAATGTCACTTTAAATGATATCTCTTAATCCGATCTTCTTTTTTCCTGTCATTTTCATTTGTCCCTTCAGCGCTGGAGCGGGTCTCCGATCCAGCGCTGACTCCTCTGAGCTTGCTGGCACTTCCTGTCCCACGGTGTCTGCATGCGGGTGCACGCCATCCATATACTTACCTTGTGTCTCTCCTCGTCTTCCGTTCGAAAATGTGAACTGCGCATGCGCCCGCCCCAAGATGCTTTGCGGCCGCCCGAGAATTTTCAGATTTTCGGGCGGGAGCGCGCGGCGAAGATAGGGGTAAGTTTAAACCGCTTTTAAAGCGTTTTTTAAAATGTATGTTTTTGCATATACCTACTGCTTGCTAGCACTAGATATATAAAAAACACCGGAGGGTTTAATAACACTTTAATGGCATTGTTAAATGTTATGACAAGATTATTTGTATAAACGTGTGTACACAAAACTACTAGAGTATGGCCAGCTTAAGACTGATGAAATGTTCCAATACCCTGTGAATAGCGAGAAGATCAAGCTGAAAGAAGGGAGGAAAAGGAAAGCCTTTAAGAGTATGTTGGATCAAATTAGGTTCAAGGTAAACAATATATGCTCCCCTCCTTGTGTAGCTGAAATCACCCATTAGTGCACCCTGCTACTCAGGCTTTACAATAGCAAAGTTCCCGGTATTCTGCAGAATGGTTTTTTTGAGTTGTGTAATTTTAGTAGTCTAGATCCAACAGTAAACTCTCAGTTATCCAGTATTCAACTAACCAGAACTCTCATCTAACCAGAAAAAAAATCCCCCGTGTACTCACTGTTTTGCTGATTTGCGGCATGTATTATCCTGGAAACGATCGTGTGTCTATTTGTCTTAATTTACTTTTCAATATGAAGTCAATACAGAGTTCATGTTATGATATAGTATAGTATGGGGTATGGCATTAGTTAGACCTATCTTTAATAGTAACTCTCAAGCAACCAGAAACGACATTTATCCAGAATCTACCAATCCCCGTGGATGCCGGATAACGTGGAGTTTACGGTATTTTTAATTAGTGTGGTCAGATTAACACATGTTGCAGTTGAGTATCCTTATGGGACACTGAGGAAAGAGACACTGTGTGTAATACAGAGGTATGAGGCTTTGAGGCCTCGTTTACACCAGACACAAAGGGTTCTGGCCCGATTCTGTCCGGAATGCACTGGATCACATTGAGGCCGACTCAGTTTGTTATGGGGTGGGAGGGGGCGTGACATTGAAGTGAATGGCACCACAGCCACACCCTCCGGCCGCACGGGAACGTAAGGCACATCAATTCCTGTGGTCCGGTCAGAAACAATAGAGCTTCCAGCATTTTTTCTGACCAAACCGCAGGCATTGATTGTGCCTTGCGTTCCTGTCTGGGCCAATCGCATTGCGGCCGGAGAGACCCACAACAAACTGAGCCGGCCGCAATGCGATCCATTGCAATCCGGCCAGAATTGGTCTGGAACGCGCTGTGTCTGGTGTGAACGGGCTCTGAGTGTAACAAAGAGGTATAATGCACTGCATGTGATAGAGAAATATGACACACTGCATGTAATAAATGTTTGATGCAGTCTGTGTAATAGAGGATATGAGACACTGCATGACATTGAGAGGTATGAAGCACGGTGCATAATGCAAAGGTATGATGCATTGTGTAATAGCGAAGCATGAGTGACATGACAAACAATGTAGTAGAGATGAAAGACTGTGTGTAATACAGAGGTGTAGCGCACTGACTATTTTAGAAAAGTGTGAGACACTGTGTAACAGAAAGACATAAGATCATGAGGCAGTGTGTGTAATATGAAGCCATAAGGCGCTGCGTAAATTGTCTGCGCTATATAAATACATGTAATAATAATAATAATAAGGCAATGGTGGCACTGAATGCAATAAAGAAAAACACTGTGTATAACAGAGGGGTGAAGCACAGAGTATAGAGAAGTGTAGGACATTGTGTGTCTGAAAGACACGAGGAGCTGCATGCGGTCTGTGGTACTGTGCAGGGGCAACCCGAGACCGGGTGACACCCCGCCGTGACGTCACCACCCGTTTGTGATGACGTCATCGTGCATGTGCGGTCATATAATTGACGCCTACGGGCGACCATCTTAGTGAGGGGACGTTCACCCGGCGGGATGAGGTATGCCGCCGGGTCCCCTCCTCTCTCTTGACACTGTCGGGCTCTCGGGGCCGCACCCCCATGCGTGACGCCACTGGTACTGTTTGATATAAGGAGGCATAAGGCAATGTGCTGTACTGAATGTAGGAACAGTGGAGAGAGATGAAAGACACTGTGTTGAATAGAGAGATGTACAGTACTACGTATAGCAGAGAGGTGTGGAAAGACATGAGATGCTATGTGTGAAACTAGCCATTAACTTCTCGAATTTCAAGTGATCCCTACTGAATCGGCCGAAATTTGAGCCCTGGGGAGCCCTGTCAGCACCACCCAACTGACAAAATTCAACTCAAACTTTTTACTGAATTGAGTGGAAAATCATGGGGGAAAAAACAGAGGGATCTTCATGGGTGTTGATTATTCTCTGTTCTTGTATGTGTTTCCTCCAGGTACTCCGATTTCCTCCCACACTGCAAAGACATGCTGGAAGGTTAATTCGCTCATGCTTAGTTTGTCCCTGCTATGCGTTTGCATGTGAGAGAGGCACCTTAGATTGTAAGCTTGACAGCAGGGACTGATGTGAATGTACACTATATAGAGTGTTGTGTAAGATGTCCGCGCTATATAAATACCTGTAATAAATAAAGAGCCATGACACCCTGCATGTAACAGGGGGGCATCAGGCACTACATGCTACAGAAAAGCATGAGGCACTGCATGTTACAGAAAAGCATGAGGCATTGCATGTAACAGAGAAGCATGAGGCATTGCATGTAACAGAGAAGCATGAGGCATTGCATGTAACAGAGAAGCATGATGCACCTTGTGTAACAGAGAAGCATGAGGCACTGCATGTAACAGGGAAGTATGAGGCACTGCATTTAACAGAGAAGCATGAGGCATTGCATGTAACAGAGAAGCATGATGCATGTAACAGAGAAGCATGATGCACCTTGTGTAAAAGAGAAGTATGAGGCATTGCATGTAACAGAGAAGCATGAGGCACTGCATGTAACAGAGAAGCATGATGCACCTTGTGTAGCAGAGAAGCATGAGGCATTGCATGTAACAGAGAAGCATGATGCATGTAACAGAGAAGCATGATGCACCTTGTGTAAAAGAGAAGTATGAGGCATTGCATGTAACAGAGAAGCATGAGGCACTGCATGTAACAGAGAAGCATGATGCACCTTGTGTAGCAGAGAAGCATGAGGCACTGCATGTAACAGAGAAGCATGAAATATTGCATGTAACAAAGATGCATGAGACATTGCATGTAACAGAGGGGCATGTAGCATTGCAGGTTACAGAAAAGCATGTGGCACTGCATGTAACATAGATGCATTGTATGTAGCAGAGAGGAGTATGGCACTGCATGTAACAGAGAGGCATGATGCACTGCATGTAACAGAGACGCAAGATGCACTGTATGTAACAGAGATGCAAGAGGCATTACATGTAACAGAGGGGCATGTAGCATTGCAGGTGACAGAGAAACATGTGGCACTGCATGTAACATACATGCAAGATGCACTGTATGTAACAGAAAGACATGAGGCTCTGCATGTGCTAACACTGTCACCAGTGAGATCTGCTACATGCAGCTGTACTCCAGATTGTAAAGGAAACATCTTGACACTGAAGTAAAATGTAAATGAGTCAATTTCCTTTACTTATCAGTGCCTGGTAAATGATTGACAGATACTACTGCAATCCCTATGACAAAGCCAGGAGTGACTGGAAGCAGGTGAGTGAGTTGTGACATCATACATCTACTGTCTGTGTAAACAGAAGTGTCATATATTCTTCTTTTATGACATGTACACTCTGTGTATTTCATCATAGTCATGACTCCCAGACATTCAATGGGCTGATGAAGAGTCTGTATGAGAGCAGAGGGGGAAGTCCATCGTGTCCCCCGCTCCTCGGTCCCCCAGCCCCCCTCCTCCTCCTCGGTGGGGATAGATAAGGAGCCTGTTTATTTTGGCACGGAGAAAGGCAGCGACTCCCCCCTCCTCGTCTCCTGTGTCCCTCCCCCGCCTGAGCATCTCCTTGAAGCGGAGTATAGGGGAGAGCAAGATCTCCTCCGCTCCCCATAGTGACCCCAGGCTGAATGTGAGCTCCGCGATCTCTGACAGCTGCCATCACATTCCTCACCGCGATCATCAGTATCGCTGCCTTCCGCACATCCCGCTGCAAGTAATCACTGAATCGGGCATCCCTTCCCCGCACTCACCGGTGCACCTGCACACAGCGGAAGTGACCTGCACAGGCTGGGCGCCGGACAAGGTATCATTCACCGGACGATGGTGATTGCACCACGCTGCTACTGAAGTCCATCCGAAGCCCCGGATCGCCGCCTGCACCTGTCACTGCCGCCAGCATGGATCCCGAGGTGGAAATGTCTGCATGGCCGGCCATCGCCTGCAGGAGTGTGCCGGAGGAGGAGCAGGACTGTCCGCTCCGCGGGACTGTGCAGGGGCTGCAAGCCGAGATGGACGAGTTCAGGCGCGGGGTGGAGAGGCAGCTGGAGGACGTCCTGCGCCTGGCGGGGCCACTCTCCCGATCTGTCACCGACCTGCAGTGTGAGAACCGGAGGCTGCGGGAACAGGTGGAGAGGCTCAGCCGCCAGGTGGAAGTACTGAGCCGGACAGCGGGGCTGAGCGGGGACGGACAGACCAGGTACTCAAGCCATGCGCTGCTCGCTGTATCCGGCAAAGGGGCCACACAGGTCAGTACCGGGGAGAGGGCACACTCACTGGTCCCCTGTAGAGCCCGGCTGCTTGCAGTCACTGATCCCTTGTAGAGCCTGGCTGCGTGAAGTCATTGGTCTCTCTTTCTATAGCTCTCTACTTCTCTCTCTTTCTTTCTATAGCTCTCTACTTCTTAGGGCTGCATCAACTGATTAAATCGATTATGAGAATAGTTGGTATTGCTATTCTCATTATCGATTTGTTTTTTTAATGCAACCAATCGATTAATAAAAAAACAACCGTGCAACTAATTGATTATGAAAATAATCGTTAGCTGCAGCCCTATTCTCTCTCGCTATTTCTTTCTATAGCTCTCTTTCTTTTGCTCCCTCTTTTTTTTTTTTGCTCCCTTATTTTTCTCCATTTATTTATATATATATATATATATACAGTATATCTTTCTTTCTTTTTATCTCTCTCTCGCTCTCTCCCTCCATAAGCCCAACTCCAGACAAAACATTTTTTTTTTTTTAGTTTGGAAGTTATTGCTGCTGTCTGTATCCTCATTGCACCAATTTCCTTTCACTTCCTGTCCTGCTGGCAGAAAAAGAAATGGTGTCACTGGGAAGACACAAAGAGCATTACAAATCTGACAGATGTTATATATGATACACACTGGCATTGACAAACCTGAGGTTATGTGTTTATAGGACATGCGTTCAGTTTAGCTGTGTTTAGAAAAAACAGAATTCTCTGCATCCGGGTGTAAATTCCATACAATGAGCACATGCAAAGGCCTTAGCAATGCAAGTCTCTGCAAGGGCACATTGAAAACAACACACCACAACAGAGCGCGGAGAAGTGGAAAAATGCCTTAATTAAATGTTTCTGCCATGCAGTAGAGTTCCCCGGAAGTGCTCATCCCTCTGTTCTTTCCTATGCATTGCAGTAGAGTTCCCCGGAAGTGCTCATCCCTCTGTTCTTTTCTGCATCGCAGCAGAGCTTCCCTGAAGTGCTCGTCCCTCAGTTCTTTTCTATGCATCGCAGTAGAGTTCCCCCGGGAGTGCTCATCCCTCTGTTCTTTTCTGTGCATCACAGCAGAGCTTCCCTGAAGTGCTCATCCCTCTGTTCTTTTCTATGCATCGCAGCAGAGCTTCCCTGAAGTGTTCATCCCTCTGTTCTTTTCATCGCAGCAGAGCTTCCCTGAAGTGCTCATCCCTCTGTTCTTTTCTATGCATCGCAGCAGAGCTCCCCTGAAGTGCTCATCCCTCTGTTCTTTTCTATGCATCGCAGCAGAGCTCCCCTGAAGTGCTCATCCCTCTGTTCTTTTCTATGCATCGCAGCAGAGCTCCCCTGAAGTGCTCATCCCTCTGTTCTTTTCTATGCATCGCAGCAGAGCTCCCCTGAAGTGCTCATCCCTCTGTTCTTTTCTATGCATCGCAGCAGAGCTCCCCTGAAGTGCTCATCCCTCTGTTCTTTTCTATGCATCGCAGCAGAGCTCACCTGAAGTCCTCATCCTTCTGTTCTTTTCTGTACATCGCAGCAGAGCTCCCCTGAAGTGCTCATCCCTCTGTTCTTTTCTATGCATCGCAGCAGAGCTCACCTGAAGTCCTCATCCTTCTGTTCTTTTCTAAGCAACACAGCGGAGCTTCCCTGACGTGCTCGTCCCTCTGTTCTTTTCTATGCATCGCAGAAGAGTTCCCCTGAAGTGCTCATCCCTCTGTTCTTTTCTATGCATCGCAGCAGAGCTCACCTGAAGTCCTCATCCTTCTGTTCTTTTCTGTACATCGCAGCAGAGCTCCCCTGAAGTGCTCATCCCTCTGTTCTTTTCTATGCATCGCAGAAGAGTCCCCCTGAAGTGCTCATCCCTCTGTTCTTTTCTATGCATCGCAGCAGAGCTCACCTGAAGTCCTCATCCTTCTGTTCTTTTCTAAGCAACGCAGCGGAGCTTCCCTGACGTGCTCGTCCCTTTGTTCTTTTCTATGTATCGCAGCAGAGCTCTCCTGAAGTCCTCATCCCTCTGTTTGTGCGTTTTGTTTGTTCCCCCCTCCCCCAGCGTTTGCCACACGTCGCCCATTGCTTTCAATGGGTGCCACACAAGACAAATGTGGGAAAGTAGCTCATGTAGCAGATTCTGCTACATGTGTACCACGTGTTCATGCATGTTTAATGTGCGTCAACACGTGCGGGGGGGAAAAAAGTACGCTTTCCCAGGCCATGCTTGGGGTGCCATTAACAAGCAATGGCACTGCAAGCGCTTACACGTTTTTTATGTGGTGTGTTAAACGTGCAAAATGCATAGTGAAAACACATGGTACGTCTGTAGCAAAATCTGCTGCATGAGCTACTCTCCCGTGTTTGTTGTGCATGCGTGCTATTGAAATCAATGGGGAACGCAGAGCAAACGTATGAAAAAACACATGGGAACACAAAGGTGTGAAGAGGAACCAAACAATACTTTAAACACACAAGAGCTTGGTTTGAGAAGCAAAACGTTTGTTTCTATTTCCCAGATAGTTTTTCCTACATTTAAATAACCTAAACACAGAAGGAGAGTGTGAATGTATCGTATGTCGGTAGAGTTTTAAGAAGGGTGCTTTACTGCGTCATAATCACACAATATAGCAAGCAGCAATTAGGGGGACCCTATTATCAAGACATATTTGATGACAGAGGTTCTAACCCTTCCCCCACGCTGTCAAAAACTAATAGAAAGGAGCTTTGTCTGGAGATGGGCCTTAATTCATTACAAAATTCTTTCGTTTTGTTGGGTTGAAGTATACTGGGCTCTGATTATACACTCATACTGCTGATGATATGCTGAGGTTTATAGATTCAATTCACTAAGCTGCAATGATTATTTACAATAACTATCAATCATATGCATTATTTCTGTGTATGGATTAAAACTTATTTTATGTTTTTTTTGTTGAAGTTTTTGGGTTTTAGTGTGAGGTGCAGCATCCCTGTCTTTTCAGATATGCTGTAGTCCTAAGCACCTTGGCAAAAGTGGTTGTCTTTTTGTGTAGGGATGTGCGGGGCTTGGTGCAAATCGAGTTCATCCAAGCCTGCGCATAACGGTCAGTGGCATACCACCTCTCCCCTGGCCCATTGAGTTGCAGTCAGGACTTTCCCCACCCTTCAGCTACATGCAGGGTTGTCCCTAGCTTTTTTGCTGCTTGAGGCAGCGCAGGGGTGTGGTGTTGGTCACACCAAGCCTCCGCACATCCCTATTTCTATGAGATTCTTTTATTGATTTGCATATATAAAAATATAAACCACACGTACAACTGTACAAAAGTGCAGTAAGAACAAAACCGCACGAAAAACATTAAGAAACATTTCCCAAGGTGGGCCACTTTGTGAATGATTTAATATTGAGCAAATGGGCTGTTCACTTTGCAAGGGAATGTTCCTTTAGCTTCGAGATTGTGGTGAAAATTCAGTGAATAACCAATCACGTTCAAGGAAGATAAATACTGTATTTTTTTTTTTCTTGCACATTATTGGATGATTGAAATCAGCAGAGTTTCACCTCTTACACTAAGCTATGTGAAAATTCACTGCAAATTGAACAACCTATTTGGTTTTTGTAAACCCAGCCCTATATGTAAGGTTCCGTGACACCCAAGCATCAGGAGTTTTTTCAGGCATTCTGAGCGTTCTTCTTTAAACTTGACCCATGGTCTGTTTTACTTTGAGGTTTTTTTTCTTTTTTTTGGTAAGATCCCTGTTCACCTTTGTCGGGGTTATTCACCATTTGCATACTCGCATGCACAGTAAATCCAGCATTGTTGTTCTGTCGTGTGCCGATCCCCTGCTCAGACATGGCACTGCTCTCTGCCAGGTGTTTGGGAAGTGGCAGAGACCTGCTACATGTCTGTGCCCATGTGGAGTATTCCTGTACATGTGCAAACACACCACAGTTCTCTACGAGGACACTGATACTAATAAGTGGCTTGTGTGCACATGTGCAGGAATCCACTGCCGGGTCCCAGAACCCTGGCACAAAGCTGAAACACATCTGCGCGTGCGTGGGATATTTGAAGATGGTGGCACAGAAGAGGAGGAGTATATTGCCATTTGTAGGAAAAAAAATGCTAGTGACTTTAGTTGCATGATTGTAACTCAGGCAAAAATATCATCGCGATCATCTGTTGCACTTTAGAGAGTCATGTAAGGCCCCAATCACACTTGTCATGCATGTGAACGTGCGCAGCGTTTTTACTAATTTTGCTTGCATTGTCTTGTGTCCGCATGGGGCAGGCCATACATTGCAAAGTTCATACAACTGTTTGAGCATCTTTCTTGCCTCGTTTGGGGTGCCATTAACTGTAATTCTGCGATCTTGAATGCGTTCACACGTGTGCAAAGTGTAAATGAAGCCTAAATTGTATAGATTGGGTAACAAAACATGTAATGAAACTATCTTGCATGCAGACAGATTGTACCTCCTTGATTTGTAACAATAAACACAAAGTAATCCTTTACATAAATACTAAGTAATAAAACACACAAGACAATAACACGTTGTAATATTTATACTTAGGAGAGTTTTTAGAGATATCCCTGCCAAATGCTTAACTCTTGTATTTACAAAAAAAAATGACTAATAAGACGGGTGCATCATCTCATCCTCTCTGTAGAAGCCAAGAGTAACATTGGACAAAACATCCCACAATCCCCTAAAATGTCTTCAGTACAAGTTTAGACCCAGAGTAGAGTTTATGTGCAATTTCTGGAAAAGCGCTGATTTCTTTTTGTAAAGCTTGACTGCCGATACTAAAATAAGAATAATGGCCATATAACCACCAATGGGAACTTTTCATAAAGTGTGATTAGCTGTAGACTTTGAACTTTTATTTATTACATGTTTTAATATAGTCTCAACAATTTACACAGCGCTTTACATACTGCACATTCACATCAGTCCCTGCCCTCAAGGAGCTTACAATTTAGGCCTGGTTCACACCTCGGCGTTTTACAGTGCGTTTCTACGTCCGTCCGTTCCGCCAGTCAGCGATGGCGGATCGGAGCA